TCAGAGCTTGAAATGTGTGGCTTTTGGTTAGGATGACGAAACTGTTCTGGGGATGGGCAGTAGTGATGGCTACACAACGCCGTGAGGAAACCTAAGGCCAGTAAATCCCAACCCTCAGCAGGAAGCTTTGTGTTAGGCTTGTTACAGTCTAAGAAACATTATGGTTCCAGCCCAGCTTCCCGCTGCACACTCGGAATCTCAGCCATACTCGGGAGGCAGAGGAAGGAGGATTCGGAGTTCAAGTCATGTACACAATGTGTTGCCTCAAACACCAAAATAACAACAACAAAAGTATTGTGTTAGCCCCTGCAAGTTGTACAAAGGACAAGGAGCAATAAGTAGTTATCAGCGACCTTGAACTACGGCAACCATTCACGGGGCCAGCAAGATAACTCAGCAGGTAAAGGAGCTTGCTGCCAAATCTGATGATTAGAGTTCGATCCCAGGAAACCACATGCTGGAAGGAGCGAGTCAGTTCCCAGTAGTTATCCTGTGACCTGCACGTGTGCATGATCGAACAAGCGCACCCCCTCCTCCCCACAAAGGGACGAATGGATAAATAAACAAAGTTTTAAAATATTCACCTAGATAATTCTGAGCAAAAAGAAAAATGCTAAGGGATCAAGAACCAATATCTATTTCATTCTCATCTTTAAAAGAATCGAAGGAAGGGAGGGAGGGAGGGAGGGAGGGAGGAAGAGGGGAGGGAGAGAAGCAGGATGAAAAGGAGGAAAGAGGAAAAGGAAGGAGACAGAGGAAAGCCGGGAGGAGGGAAGGGAGAAAGAAAGTCTCATGTTCTCTCACTTCAGGATAAAACACTGCACATGCTAACCACCAAAAATTAATGGGAAAAACACTCCAGCTGACTGAGATGTGAGCCAGGCCTCAGTCACAGGAAACCATGCTGTTTGGTACCTGCAATGCTCAGAAGAAAAGCAGTAAGAAGAGCATGGAGCCAAAAATTACAGGGTCCAGCCCATGCCACAGTCTCCGAATGGAACTTGAGCCGTCCATAATCTTCACTGTCAAGGCAAAGCCTAATAAATTTCAGAAAGATTAATCCCACTAAGATCTCGCATCACTAGCCTCGACTAAAAACACTTGATTAGATCACAGGGACCCAGACGGTCTGGCTCTCTCTCCCACCTCAGCGTCTGCTTCTCAAGCTTTACTGACAAGACATGACAGGAATAAGGACAGGCCGATTTCTCCTCCCTTTGTCCTTCCCTGCAGCCACGTTCACTGGCATGTTATAGTCCCTTTCCCCCAGCTCACAGGAAGCAGAGGTGAGGCGCTCGATCATGCTTGCACCCTTCATATCTTCAATCACACACCTTCACGGAGTGGATTCAGAGGAACGGGACTGCTGCCAGCGCTGACCAGTTATTTCTTTTGAACACTAAATAAAAGCTAATGAGGCAAATTATCTTTGCTTCTCCAAAACCCTAGGACTGCACCTTGAAAATCCCACCGCAGTGAGAAGGGGAAGGGGAGATGAATGGTTTCATCGAAGAGGATACTCAGGAGAACAGTAACTCCTGGTTTTGATCAAGCTGATGTTTTTCCTGTGGCAAGCTACAAATAGCCATTTTGTTTAAGAGTGAGTGTGTGTGTGTGTGTGTGTGTGTGTGTGTGTGTGTGTGTGTGTGCAGTAACCATCAAATTTGGAGATTCTAGGAGCTAACATGATTTCAAGCAGTCCGTGGGTGACTCCCATCTCTCTCTCCCTGCTATTAGGTCAGCCCTTGGCATTTGCATGCACATCTGATTTACAATGATCCACAAGAAAAATAGAAAGTTTTCATAGATTTGAATTATTTTCCAGATTCCTAACCAACACAGCCAATACAGTATTTTGCATTCGTTCTGATTACAGGTTTTGCTGGAATTAGAAACAGGTGGCATGTGATATTCTGTACGGCTGGCAGCAAATTTGCATATCAACAGAAAACAGAAATTTTCTAATCACATAAATCATATATTGTAATCATGTGGGGGGGGGGCATTCTTTCAGTTTCTCTTAGTGAGAAATGTTTTTTCTAAGGGCCAGGAAATCAAACATGGTCAAGGTCAATACAACTTAAGTTAATCTCTTGTATAGTGAAGATTTTCCACAAAACGGCTTGGGAAATATATAAATGTACATTTATTTCCCCAGTAGGAAACAGTGGCCTGAGACCACACAGTAGATTTTGTTTGTTGTTTTGTTTGCAAAGCTGGGTCTAGAACCCAGTCCCTTGCCCAGGGAAGGCAAGCAGCTGCCATTGGGCTACACATCCCTGGCCTTCTTTTGACTTCGAGACAGGGTCTTGCTAAGTTGCTCAGGCTGGCCTTGAACTAATTCACTCTACAGCCTGCTTCCACCTTGAACTTGAGACCCTCCTGTCTCAACCTACTAAGTAGCCAAGGTGACAGGCCTGTCTTACCAGGCAGACTCCAATCAGGTTTCAGACCTCTGCTATCAGTTACAAATATTTTCCTGCACTGATTAAACTTTCCCATCTTGGGAAATGAAACTGGGTCTTTATTTCTATCCCATCTGCAATCAGCATGGGAATGAAAAGGGCATGACATAAACTAAGCATTGATGTCAAAAAAAAAAAAAATACCTCCAACCCATTTTTTTTTAAACTGGAAAAATAAAATGCTTTTCCACTAAGATTTTTTTTTTAATCTGCTTCTACTCAAGGCTAGAGGTCTATTTATTTTTAAATGACACGCAGGAAACCTCCCAACTGCAACTCAGATTTACATCTGGCTAATCCTGAAATTGTGACTGACCAAATTCACGCTGTTTATTTCTAATGAGTTCTGTGATTTGGGGATAACACGTGTGAGGGATGTCGAATTAACTACTGAGAGTCAGCAGCAAGCAAGCAAGCAATCTTGGAGGATACGAGTCAATTTCTAATCATGCTTGCCAGAAGCTTAGGGTGGGAGAGACAGGTGATAAACTCAGCCAAGAATATCAGAACTTGTTTCCCTTTCCTTTTTTCTGTAGACTGTTTCAACACTCCATCAACAAAGACAGCTCAACTTTTCCTTTCCATAATTTTGGAGATTACAAGGAAAGCTCTGGCCCCCTTGAGAGTCTTAGATAAATGAAAACACTTCACACTGCAAAAAGCTGTGTCGGTCTCCGAGAGTCCCTTTGCTGGAGTTGTGTCCACTTACAGTCAGAGAAGGACAGAGGTGAAAGGGATGGCCCATGCATGCTACAGAAATACACAGTCTACTGAAGATGCTGTGGGATGGTCTGTATGTCAAATGTGTTGCTGATTGGTCAATAAATAAATCACTGATTGGTCAGTGGCCAGGCAGGAAGTATAGGCGGGACAAGGAGGAGAAAAAACTGGGAAGTGGAAGGCTGAGTCAGAGAGACACTACCATCCGCCATGATGACAAGCTGCATGTGAAGATGCCGGTAAGTCACGAGCCACGTGGCAAGGTATAGATTAATAGAAATGGATTAATTTAAGCTGTAAGAACAGTTAGCAAGAAGCCTGCCACGGCCATACAGTTTGTAACCAATATAAGTCTCTGTGTTTACTTGGTCGGGTCTGAGTGGCTGTGGGACTGGCAGGTGAGAGAGTTTGTCCTGACTGTGGGCCAGACAGGAAAACTCTACCTACAGAAGATGCCTACACACAAGTAGGAAACGATGATCAAAATCTCCTTACCTAGACACAGACTGGCCTGGATCTCATAGAAGGGTGAACACTTACTCGAATCAAAACAACAAACCCAGAGACAGCCCAAGAATCACTCTTAGCTCGGGTCCCTTAGGGTTTATGAACTGAAGCTCTCAAAGAATTTACTCATTTGACAGGTAAGGGCCTGCAAGGACCTGCAGGAGCTCATCTCTCCCCAGATGAATCTCAAACCAAAGGCAAGCTGCAACGGGAGGGCCTTGAAACCCTGCCCCACCACCCCAACAAAAGCCCACATCTCATGGAGTCAAGCAAGAGATTCAGGTGTCCAGTGAGCAGCTGAGAAACACAAATCAGAAAATATGCCCTTGTAGAAGCTCATCTCCATGGTCACCAGTTCTGACCCCAGGTCCTAGATATGCTTCATAACACACACAGGCTGCATTTCTGTTGCTCCAACTGGAGACTGCCACTGTCTTGGTATGGGTCCCAGAAGGCAATGGAAGGTGGGAGCCATCCAGGTGATACAAGGTGGAAACACTCAGGTGATCTTATGAATTTGAAATTCTTCAGGATGTACTGTCGTGTTAAACACAATGAGAAGTACAAAATACGGTGAGCAGAGAACTTAAAATTGAACATCTGATTACCAGTGGTTTGCCTAACTCCACCATCTTCAGAATCATCTGGAAGGCATGTTACAACACCCCACTGCTAGAATCACTGAGTCACTGGCCAGGGAAGGGGTCTAATTATCTTCATTTTTAATTAACATTTGCATTTCTAGCCGCTCACCTGTGATGTGATAGCTGCTGGTCATTTTGCAGTCAACTGCTTTGGATTTAACTCTCTGGTACATTTAGACAACTGAACACTGGCTGCATGTTAATAGGACTTAGTTAGGACTGACATGACACAGGGTGGAAAAAATGGTACTTACAGTTACAAAACAAAACAAGAAAACAAAAACACACTATTCCCATCTTTAAGAGACTCATAAGGAAGAGAAAATTTTCCAAGCACTCTAGCTAGAATTGGCAAGGGCCAAGTGAGTTGCCTGCTTCCTCGGAGGTAAACTTCAGCCTAAAATTAGGGTTTAATGGATGTTAATTGAATGATGTGTGTTTTATATCATCATAAGGTACACATATGAATACATAAAAGTAAAGCTATTATGACAGAAAAAAACAACAACAGCAAAAGACACTCAAATCACTGTGAAGAAGAGAAGAGGTTTTATCTGGGATTTTGGGATAGCCCAGGCAAAAACAAAGCACAGGCTGGACTCACACACAGAATCACTAAGATGTTTCATCTAGCAATCCTCCCCACCCAGGAAAAGTCCCTTACCTGAACATGCTGGGTGTGCAGGCTTCTTGGGAAGTCACCTGGGAGTGCTAGGAGAGAAAGGGAAAACTGAGTCAGACACTGAAAGAGTAAACTCAAAGACACGGTAGGGTGAGTCTCACGCATATGTCTGCTGAGTACTAAAGTCCTCAGAGGACCGTGTCGAAAGCGGATTGTTAGTTAAATCCTCCCCTTCATTCTGTCCTTGCACTTGACTGTTCTAGAGCCACACCAGAGACGCACTGCAGAGTGCTAAGTCTCACAATTCTGGGGCAATGCCTGAAGTCTTCGGCAAGGATGGGCTCAGCTCCAGTCTGGCTGCTCCTAAGGTATGGAAAGCAGGACATGTAGCCATCCCAAGCCTAGACTTCATGATCTGGTAATAGATTTCTCCAGAGCAATTCTCAAAGCTAAGAGGACTTGACTGGGGAGATCACTAGTCCTGGGATACCAACGGGGCGGGTTGCACATAGCAGCCACATGTGTGTGATGTACTCTTGTGGGTTTTGTTTTTGGTTTGTTTTTTTTTAATGGATATAGGTGTTTTGCCTACATTACGTATGTGTACCACTTACATGCCCAATAGACACGGAGACCAGAACAGAAGAGGGAGTTGGAACTGAAGTTACCACATGAGCTGCCACTTGGGTACTAGAAACTGAGCCAGGGTCCTCTGGAAAAGCAGCCTGTGTTCTTAATCATGGAGCCATCTCACCAACCCTTACCTTAATGATGCATGTAGCTCATTACATTTAGACTTTAAAACAATTTTGTAAAACCAGTGCCAACAGGGCTAGGAAGACGGGTCAGTAAGTGGTATTTGCCCTGCAAACATGAGAACCTGCGTTCCATTCCCGGCACCTACGGAAAGGCTGGCCACCGCGGTGGCATGCTCTTGTAATCTTGGTGCTGGGGAGGCAGGACAGGCTGATTCTCAACTGCTTCATGAGTTCCAGGAGGCTGAGAGACCCTGTCTCACACACTGAGGGCGACTGCACTAAGAAATGATATCCGATGTTGACCTCTGGCCTGTACAACTCAGCACTGCCAGCAACAGAAGATGCCAGAGACTAGGGCTGAGGATGTGCAAGAAACCGTCCCTGTCCCAGAAGTAGCAATGGCAGTCACAGGCCGGAACCCCAGCTGATGACCTCAGAGGAGAACTTCACGACAGGACCATGTGCCAAACCCTGGGTGCCAGTCTCCTGCTGTTGTCAAAACCCCAGTGAGGACTGACTCCAGTACTTGAAAAGAAATGCAAGATCATATCAAAGGTCAAGTCTGTTTTCTATGACCAGGCTTATCGTTTTTTAAACTCCGGCATTTTATGAGCATGTGTTTGATTACAAAATAATTACTCAGTAGAGTAGAGAACAAAATTTGCTAATAACACTTTTAGCCAGGCTTGAATATACACACTTAGATCCCAGCATTGGAGAAGTAGAAGGGGAGGGGTTACCTAGAGTTCAAGGTCATCCTTAGGTACTAAGAGGGTTTTAGGTTAGTCTGGGCTACATGGGATCCTGTCTCAAAAAAAAAAAAATTTAAAAAAAAATTTTTAATCTACTTAAAATTGTATTTGTCTTTCCCTGATATTCTCCTTTAAACACACACAGAGTTCACAAGAGCAAGTTTTTCTTGACACCAAAGGGAACTTGGAGGTTCTGCTACCCTTACATTTTTAGTAGTTACACCACAAAGTACTTATTTCCTAAAAACCTGATTCCAAGAGCAAAGTTCTTGGCAATTCAGGGCAGATTCAGCTATTTGTGCATGGCTTCTTTTTTGTTTTGCAGGAGAACTAATTGTCGAAGGATTAGACAGCACAGCATTCCTCCTGGGCCAAGGTGGTGGTGCATCTCCAAGAGGCGAACACACTGGAGAAAGCAGCAGTCAAGAGCTCTCTCTAGGGCTCAAGGTCATTCTTCTCTCCCTACTGGGCTGCACATAATTGGCAAAGCACGTTTGTCCTGTGAATCAGGTAGCAAGAAAACCATCTGATAGATCAGCAGTCATATCCAGGACACACCTGCTCTGGCTCCCTCCAGGTTGAAAATCATTCAGCATTATCAGCCTCCCTGATGAAGTACACACAATTAATATTCTGAAATGTAAAAAGGAAGCTTGGGTAAATAAAATGGTCACTACTGCTACACACAGCAGAAAACAACAACTGTGCACATGGCAGCAGCTTCCCCACTTCCCACTGACCTTGGGGTGCTAATGAGACAGCTCTGCAGAGGCTGCATGAAAAAGCATCCCACACTCAGCTGGCCCAAACGCCCGATCCAGACTCTTCTCCTCACCACAGCAGGAGGGCTTCACTAATTGGGATATGCAGGAGACTTGGCCTGAAATGTGCTGCCCTAGAGCACACCTCAGGAGCATACTGGGCTATACAAATACACGTACACTTGAGTGCATGGGCACACATGTATGCACGCACACACACAGGCACATACACACATATAAACATATACGCAAACACACACGCATACAAATACAAGTGCACATACATACACATCCCCCCACACCCATATTTCTTCACCACCACCCCCAAAAAAGCCCAGGTGAACATAATAAAAGTAGCTTTAGAAATTAAAGTATATGTGTGTATGATGAATTTGGGGCGTTGTGGGGGGCGTATGGGGAAGAAGCAGGTGGAGATAGTTTCTGTAAGCGTGAACCTCCCCCATAAGCCTGGTGGTAATGACCACAGACAGAAACAACAAAGGCTCCTGCTGAAAGGAGTCCCTCTAATCACATTAGCTTGCAGTTCTAAAAGAAGATGGTTGCTCTGAATCTCCCTTTATACATAGCAACTTCAAAAAAATCCCTATTTTCTTAGTACATCTTTATGGCGGAAAACGTGCATGTCTTTGAAGGCTCACACAAAACAAACAAGAGTCTTTACAAGACCTCCCTGACCACCCAGGGAGAATCAAATAGTATTTTTTTCCTCCAGTAGGCCACCCCAGGATACCAGGAATAAAGAGGAAAAGGAGGAATTCATCAAGTAACCAGGATGTGCTTTTCAAGTGTGGCTATCAGACTGTTTTAATCTAAATATTGTGCTTTATTTTTCACTAGCAAAGCCCACAAAAATCTACTGATCCGTTTATTGGACAGAAGAAGTTCTTAAATCACAGAAAAATGGGTTAAAATCTAGGAGACAGCAGAGGGGAGGAAGATGAAGGAGTTTTCTCTTTTTGAAATCCAGAGAAAGGAGCAGAGGCTTTTAAAGGGCTGATTATAGAGTGGGGGAGGGATGAGCAGGGGGCAGAGTCACTTAAGTGCAGAGAGCCTTGGAGGAGCTGGTCAGTGGCTTCGCTGATGGAGGCATCAGGGGAGTGCAGTTGGCCCCGCACCACATGGAGGGTTAGGGGCTCACAGGGTTTATCAGAAGGGCTTAGAATCCTACACATCCCCACATGGACTCCTCTGTCATGTCTCTGCACAATCGCTCCCTTTAGAACAGATAAAGACTGGAGAAGGAGCCTTTCTGTCCAACTCAAGCTGTCTTCCCCTACCAGTCCCTACTGTGACCATTTGGGCACCTATGCTCCAGCCCCCCCCCCCCCCCCCCCCCCCCGGAAGTCCCTACAGTTAAAGACACATGCACCTGCTTGAATCAGTTTACTGATGGTTGTGGAGAGGTGTGTGTGTGTGTGTGTGTGTGTGTGTGTGTGTGTGTGTGTGTGTACACATGTTCATGTGGGTATGGGTGTACATGGGTCTGTGTGCCTGTGCCCCAGACGTCATTCCTAAGGAGCTTTCAGGCTTGTTTTTGAGACAGGGTCTCTCGCTAGACTAGGACTTGCCAATTAGACTAGCCTGGCAGGCCGCAGAGCTCCATCTGTCTCTACACAGGCCCAGCTTTTTACATGGGTGTTGGAGCTTGAACTCGGGTGCTTGTGTGTAGTTGGCACTGAGCTAACTGAGCCACCTCCCAGCCAGATCATGGTCTTTGACGGCCCTGAAATGATCTGCTGACCTTCTCTCTCTGGTGACTGTTTTGAAGGCGAGCTAATTTCCTGCCTCAGTTTCTCATCTGATAATGCAGATGTGAAGGTGAACAATGGTCGTTATGGTGAGTGTTAGGTGACAGGTGTCAGTTGGCTCAAGAGCAAAGACCTTGCTAAAATTTTTCTGAATATCTACAGCCGAAAATACAAACTGTAAAATCTGAGGATTTTAAACTAATATGATCTTTTAAATAACCCAAATAACGCTAATCATTGTACGACAAAAGAAAACCAAGTCCAAATAATGAGGAAAAGGCAAACTAAGCACACTATTAGTAACAGAAACGCTCCTCCATGCTGAACCTCAGTGCATGAGTTGGTGGATAGATCAGCAGGTGGGATAAGAGACCGAGGGATGGACCGGATAGGTAGACGAATGGATACATTACCAGTAAGACAAGACAAAGAGATCTAAGGGCAGACCAATCAGCAACCAGCTAAACGTCCAAGATGTCATCAGCAATTCGAACCCTGGATGATAAAATACTGGCCTGCTACACGGTGGCTACCTCATGCCTCATGCTTCCATATACTTTTTAAAAAAGTATATGGAAGTATATTTCTTTTAATTTTTTAACAAAATCCAGATCAGGAAAACGTACCACGTCTAAGGATTTGAAATAGTATTGCTTTTCAGCCCCAGGATTTCTTCATTCATCTAAAGTCCAATTGTGTTTAAAGCCTTTCATAGAAACAGCCACTTGCCTTCACCTTGTGAAGCTTATTCATGCCACAGGTGTGCCTGGGTGACAATACCACATGCCAATCACAAGCTTGTCACCCCAGGAAGCATACATACGGACCATTCTTGTGAAGAGCTCCCGACTCAATGTCAGCTCCTGCTCTTCTCCCCCAGTCTGCCACCTCCATCTGTCCCTACAATTTATTCAGCAAAGTGCAGCTCCAGCATGAACAGCCCCATCACAGAGATAATGAGCAGAATTAGAGAAAGGCAGATTGTAAAGCGGTTGGCAGACACTTGGAAGGGAAGGCTCTGGATGGGGGACCCGTTTCCCTCTGCTCTC